GCGCCCACTATCACTCGCGCGGCCGCGTTCTGTACTAGCTGAAGTCTCCGGGTGCTCTTCAAGGGCAGCCCCATGTTGGTTCTTGGTCTACTGGGCAAAAGTAGTATTTTTTAAAATAAAATAAGATGCTTCATAAGGAAGAAACCCTTGGAGCCAGACTTATTATTCTCTTTCAGCTCAGTATTCACAGATTTAAATTAAGAAAGGCAGACAGATTCAATATCGCTTCTGGGGTGCACTTGTATCGTCTAAAAGATCCTCTGTGGATGATCTCTGTGGATGGCAATTTCCAAGAGGATGATCTATGTTGATTCCTCAATGTGCTTAAATAGGGATAGAGGTAATAACCTATACCTTAACCAGTGCCACCCCTACCACATAGTACAATAAAACAGATGGCTTCAGATGGCTTCAGATGGGGGATTGGAAGAAGACAAAAACTGATACTCAAGGCTTCAGTAAGATTTTCTAAAGCTTTGGTTCTAGGATATGAGACTTGTATCACAGATACTACTTGGTGCTTTGCTTGGGTGCCAAAATATTTGGATAGTTTTTTTCTCCTTGTAGTATAAGAGTGCAGGGTCAATCTTCTGAGCAGGAAAGATAAAAATAATTGCTTGATGAATTTAACTCTGTAAAATTCCATAGATGGCAACATAAAGAGCACCCACTAAAGCTATAATTAATGGAGATAGAGATTTAATAGCAATGTATACCAATATACCAATATCTTTGGCAGTCACACCTTAGAGTGTCGATCATTAAACACAGAAGTTTCTAAATGAAACCACAACCCTGCTTATGTTCTTACAGTATTTCAGATTTCTTTTGCTTTACAAACCTTTGAAGACCCTAAATGTGAGGCTTGGTCTTAAAATTGCTTTTTCATCACTGGTGTAACTGTGAACACTTGTTAAATGAGGACTGCCTGTAGCTTGAAGACACTGCCTCACCCCAGCACAATGAGATTGCTCTGTGGGTTCACTCTGTTTCTATTTGACAGACAGGTCAATCTAGGAAGGGAATTCTTTACTGCTCTCTTTACCACTCCTGAGGCTGTGCTAGTGATCAATCAAGCCCTTTCTAAAATGACCTTTCTGTCAGCCCTGGGTAGGGTGAGGGGAAGGCCCAATAGGCAGGTCACTCTGTGAGGCATTCCTCATGACCAGGGTGCTGTTCAGTGGTCTTTCTGATACTAAGCCCGATTGGGCTTTTCAGGACATGGGCTAAAACTACTAAAATGACCCTGCCATGAATCTGACCTTGTGCAGGGAAGACTACAGAGGTTTCCGCATACCTTGCGGCGGCCCTCTGGAGTTGGGCCAGGCCCAGTCGATCCACGGATTCTTCGGCAGCCCACCGTCTGGCCCAGGCGCCCACCACCAGACCCAACCACTGGTCTCGCACTTTGGCGGTGGCTTGAGACCCTGAACCCAGCACCTCCTGCCTGCATGGCGGGTTCCTCCTCAGCTATTTGGGAGGCCAGCCGCTGCCCCCCCGGTTCTCCTGGCCATGCAGAATTCCTGCCCGCCATCTACTCTGTCTTATTTTAGGGGAAACAGAATAGTAGAACAGGACCTCTGTAGACACAGCACTCCATGAAGGGATTTGCCTGTTGGGCCATTGGTTTTTGCAATGGACTGACAGGCTGGTTATTTCAAGATCACTAAGGTTGAATGATAGCTAAATCAGCCACTCAAGCCCTCTTTCAGAAACCACCTCCTCCCTCCTCCTCCTTGCACTCAGGTTAGATGGAATAACTGGGCGGTTTCACCTGCCTTCAGGGCAGCTCCAAATAGAGAGCGGCTATGCAGAGGGAGCAAATCCTATCAGCGTACTTTTAAATTATCTCCCTAACAGGAGGAAAGGACATGAAACATGCTCAGAATATGTCCCTATGAATTAATCTGATTCAGTTGCTCAGCTTGAATGAGAGCTTAGTGAAAACTATGTCCCTCTGACCATCTATGTTAATGTTAGCTTCCTTTGATAGCTTCCAATGCAGAGAGAGACGACATCTTGGCATTTATCTACCCTAAAATGTCCATTGCGACTTCTAAAATGAAAATGAAATTAATTTTTAAAAAATGTGTTGTTATTGTTAAAAAGGCCGTTACCTTTTGAGTTTGCCAACTCTCATGAGATTTCAGTGGTCTCGTATGATGTCACAACTTTTCAGCTTGCCTGCATGATTATGGCCTTTATTTTTCCCCCTTTAATTTGTACATATTCCAATTGTAATTTAATGCTGGAGGGTTGTGAGTCTCCAAGAAGACAGATTTGGATCATATACATATACATCATATACATATACAAAAACATATACATATACAAAAGCATGTACATATACAATTTTTTATCCAATAGGCAGTTTATTTGGTCTGGGAAACTAGGTTGGCTTAAAATCCCCCCGCCCCTCAAGATATTAGATGTTATCTTCTGGATCAGAGGTGGTATTCAGCAGGTTCTGACCAGTTCTGGAGAACCGGTAGCAGAAATTTTGAGTAGTTCGAACCAGT